ACAAAAGCCCCGAAGAAGCATTTGAAGTGTTATGGGCAGGAAAGAACTGGTAGTTACACAATCACATTGTGGCTACCTCATCATCCTCATAAACCTGTAATCTTTCTGCAGGGTTTTTCAGGCCTTTGAATAGGTTCCCGTCTCGCTGGGGGCAGTGACATGGTTCTTCTTTGTGTCTTATGAAGCTGGTAAATCTCGGTGAGCAAGCAGGGAAGTTATGATTAGTAAAACTTGGAAAGCAAAAAGCCTTTCTTCCATTACCACGAGCACCAAAAGATGTGCATTATACAGCAGATTTGTCCAGATGCCCAGTACCTGTGGAGCAGACTTTGATCTCAGCTCCATGATGTGTTTTTTAATATCTCCTGTGATTTTAAAGACTTCTTGGATTTGTTTCTGTCAATCTGGACTTTACTGTGTAAGAATAAGGGATTAAAATTGTGAAGGAATCCTTGTGTTCTAGATTGTTTCTCTGTCTTGAGCTGCAAATGGATACTCTTCTCCTGAAATAATGTCTTCAAAGCAAAATAAATCAGTTTGTGCAGGACATGCTAAGTGATGCCAGGAAGAATTAAATAGGCCTAAAGCAAAATCGATTGTTTATTAAGCAAGCTGTGCACAAAGGTGCTATCAGAGCAGCCATTCTGCAGGTCACAGGTCTGCCTCCTGCTACCAATCCTCAGCCTGCTCTTTGGAAAATGCTGCTGTCCTCTCCCAGCCCGAGCAACTTGTTGCAGGAGGTGCAGCCGAAGGTCTCTGCTGCCCTGCATGTTTTCTGGGTGGCTGGGCTCAGAAGGAGGCAGGACTGGGCAGAGAAGGGCTCGCAAGGAGCAGGGTTCCTCTCCAAGCCCGCCTAGAACAAGCATTCCCAAGGCCGGCTCCAGCCCTAGTCCTGGGTTCGCGACACGCTGGGGCCCCCTGAGGCTTCAGCGCGGACGGTCGCTGCCCTGGAGCGGAGGGCCTGAGCCGGTGGGCACACACGGGTGGCTGTTGTGATGAAGCGGGTGCTGAGGACTGTCTCTCACACAGGGGCGTTCATGAGGCAGGAGTCCCTCTCCTCAGAGGCGGGAGCTGTCACGCTGTGGCGCTTCCCGCCTCTCCGGGCTGCTGGCGTGCACTAATGCAAGCTCTCCTCTCACCAGCTGAGCTGCTGCCACTGCCTGTACTCAGGTTCACGCTTACCCTGACACAGCGAATTATCCAGGAAAGAAAGCTCAGAGTTAGTTGCTGTCCTCTTGAGCCTAAGCCTGGAAATAAGTTGTTTCACTAAACTCAGCTTTCTTGAGAAAAATTTGTCCCACTGCGGAGGGGACTGTGTGCACCTCATGGCGACTGTCAAGGGTTAAATAGCTGCAAAGTATTATGTGCAAGGTCATTGCATGGAGCTGGATTTCATCCATAAATTGTGCTAGTAAATTACTGTTTGTAACATGTATTGGGAAATGTGGCTATGGTATTCCCAGATAATGTCTTCTATTTTTTCTTTGATACATGTTTACAAGGTCCCACTGAAGAACATTCTGAGTAACACTTTATATAGAGCTCTCTTATCTTTAGTAATGAAATTCCTCGACTTTAAAGGACATTTTTCTGAAGGGAAGGAGCGTATGTTATAGAATGTTTGTGCTAGTTGATTCCAGATGCTCCCACTTGCGCCTCCTCTCTTCTAACAAATGTTTCCCTTTTCTCTCAGTAGTAGGGAGAAAACTTCTCACTTTTCATCCATTCTCTTTGGCTGAAAGGAGAAAAGGCGACCTATCATTAATATATGGTGGGAAAAAAAATAGTGCATCCCTCAGGCACTGCTCAGTAAAGAATAAACAAAAATGGCTCAAGTGTGGGTAACCTAATTGGTGTATAGCTCACTATCCCCTGAACATTTTCTTTCCCCTTGCAATGCAAGAAATGAAATGTATGTGCCTTGCTGGGCAGATGTAAACCCGCATGGCTTAGAAGAACAAGCCCCGAAACAACGGGACATGTTCTCAGCACCAAGGGTGGAGGAATTAATGTTACTTGGTCCCCAGGAAACATGCATCCCACATCCTTCAGCACAGCAGAAGGGATGGTTGCTGAGAGCATGCCGTCCCTAAGGAAAGCTAAGGGCAAATTAGAACTAATACAAGTCTTTTATCAGGGATTGCAGTAGAGCGCCATTCATCGTTAAGTTCCAAGATATTTTGGAGAGACTAAAATGAAATACAAGCTTAACAATTAAAACTATGTATTGAAAACAATTAATTTCTGATAGGCAGCCAGTGACTCTTGTAAAAGTACTTTACCAGGAAAAATAGCATTCCATTCAAGGCTCAGAATTAGCAGTTTATGGAACTGTTTTTTTTCAAAGAAGTTCATGCATTATGAAGCACTTTGTTGGTCCAAGATCATAACTCTAGATTTGTCTGAGGACCCCTCTGAGAAACCCTCAGGCTTCTTTACAAGCCTTTGATACTGTCCCTGTGTTCCAGGTGTAGCTTGGACCTGCCACTTAGGACTGACCTTTTAAAAACATGAGTTTGCTTTGAAACTCTTCAAAACAAACATCTAAGTATTCAGGTACCTAAAATTAATGGAAGTTTTTGAGAAAACGGACATTTTACAGTTTCTTGTCCCCTTAAACCAACCGGGTGATACCTGCATGGGAACTTGCAGTTCTATGATTCCCTATTGCATTGTCCTGGGTAAAACTGGGACCTCTTTACTTATCTTTTTACTGTTTTATAAAAACTATTAAAGCTCTTTGTCATATATATACTGCAGAAATGATCAGTCCTCAGATGTTGGCCTTCACTGGTCCATACATCCCAGTCATTCAAAACCAGTTCTTCCTCACAATTCCCTGTCTAAGGGAGGTTTTACAGCCTGGAAATGAGAACTTTGTATAAGCATATGGCAAAATTCCCTGTCTTGAAAACGCCCCACCCAGAAGAGTCACTCATTGTTTTGTCTCAGTTTTGTACCTTCACTGATAAGTTTAGCTAGTAGTGCTACACTCATCCATCCAGGTTCTTACTCTCTATTTGTACGGTCCACCACACCTTTCATTGCCTTCTCATACTATTAATTAAAACCCTATATTTTTTTAAAAAATCCATCACATATGAAAAAACACCTCACCTCTTACCCTAGTAAGAAGCAAACTGTGCAGACAATTGAATTTCTGAAGGCCAAAGAGGTAATTGCTTTGATGCAGCTTTGATGATCTGTTACACCAAAGAGCCTTCTCGTATTTGGATGGATCTGTTTGTGACCTGTGACTGAGATGGTGCTTTCAAGACATGAGAGTGATTAAAAAAAAAAAAACTTCATAGCAGTAATATGGGGATTAAGGATGGAATGCATGCATATATTTGCCTTTAAGTTCTAACTAACTGATTAGTCCTGTCTAACCTGATTTGTGTGCTTTGTGTCCAACTTTAGGTACCAAAGGGAGAAACAAAGGGGAGTTTACAAATCTTCAGGGTGTAGCTGCATCTACAAATGGAAAAATATTAATAGCAGACAGTAACAACCAGTGTGTGCAGGTAGGAGGATATGCCACTTTCTGCATTACTGTTCCTCACCCCACCTTCTCCTCCTCCTTTGTGCTTCAGGAAAGACAAGTGCATTGTGAGCGTATGTGGAACATACAGAGGAAGCCCAACCTGTTCATTCTGTATTATCGTTCCATCTTCTTGACCTGCAGCTCAGATCTATAGCACAAAGGGAAATCAGAGTTATTTCCCTTTCTTACTATGTTTGGCAGTGACTGAAGAAAACAAACATGCCATAATCTGGAAAAATGCCGTTTTGTAGATGTCACTTTACATTGTAAACTTATCACTTGTATACTTTCTGTGTTTCAAAACAAATCTAGAACTCAGTGCTGCAAGTATAATTTCCTAAGGAAATACACAAAAGAACATGTAGATGTCATTTTCAAGTGACTTTTACTCTACTAAATTAACTCTTCTGTTTGATGTGGTAGCATCTCTGACATTTATGATTTCTTGGCTTCTGTAACATGAAAATCAATCTGCCATGTATTTTTTTTTACCCTTAACAATTTGTCATCACTATTCAGGCTGTCCATGTGGTAGCAGTGAACAAGACAGCAGAATGAGGCTTGTTCTTCAGTATGTTGGAGCTGGAGAGCCACATGCAGTAAAAACTTGTTTTCAGACCTTTTAAAAGTGACAGAGTTGAGTATGCATTAGTTTCCTTGCATACTGTAATGTGGTACTTCGGTGCCTGATTAAATGACTGGGAGACACAAACGGTGGCCTAGATTTTGAGAGTGACTAAAGCATTTCTCAAGAAATGGCTCAGTATTTATCTAAAATCAAATAATTAGTTACTACAAATCTCATCTAGGTTCTACTCCCATCTTTTCCATAGAGTTCATGTGTGACCTTGGCCAAATCACTCTGTGCCTCAGTTTGCTCGTTTTTAATACAGAAATAATAGCACTTCCAACTCCCCAAAGGGGACTTTGTGAAGTTTAATTCACTAGTGTTTGTAAAGTTCATTGAAAAAAAGCTCTTTGTAAGTGCAAAGAACTTCTTTATTATGAAGTTAGGGTCCAAGTGGAGATTTATTCTTAAATTAGACATATCACATTCAAATATGGATGGTATAAAAGCACTTCATGTTCCCATCTCTCTTTCTGAGGGTGTTCATTTGTTGCTTGCTAACATATAAGCTCCAAGAAATAGACGATGTTGTTATGTATGCTTAGTTTTAAAATAAAGTGTTTTGTATTACAGATATTTTCCAATGATGGCCAGTTCAAGAGCCGTTTTGGCATACGAGGAAGGTCTCCTGGCCAGCTGCAGCGGCCAACAGGAGTGGCTGTGCATCCCAGTGGTGACATCATCATTGCAGATTACGATAACAAATGGGTCAGCATATTTTCATCAGATGGAAAATTTAAGGTAGGATTTACCACATGAACTCTCTCGAGCCTTCTCCGTCTTACAGTGGAATGTATATTCATGGCTTTTTTTATTAATTTTTTTTTCAAGAAACTACATAGATGAGTTGTAACTGAGCAGATTCCATTGTTGTGATGTGGAAACCCATAACATAGCCATATTATATAATAAATAGGAAGAGATCATAGCTGTGATGCCAGCAATATATCGGATAGTGGTATATTCCATTCTGCAGTTCTGCATATCAAGTACTTGGATCCTTTTCTTGCATCTTACAGTTGGAGGTAGCTGATGTAGTGGAGTCTAGTTGGACTAGCTCAACAATCTTCATGTTAGTAGCACTCTGTTTATATAGAAATGCATGTATATATTTGTGTATATGTACATATGTACACAGACAGGCTAAAGGCTCTTTAGTGACATATGGAGGAGAAACATAAGGTAGCAGACTGATGACTTCCTCTATTTACTTCATATATGTCAGCAAATCAAGTGTATAAGTTACATATGATCGCGTTTGTACTAAGAGCAACGAGAGGCAGGAGCTCTAAGCTCCTAAGAGCTAGGAGATGGTTTCAGTGCTACAGAAGAGATAGGAAATGTTTTATGCTGGGTGACAGGCAGTGGGAAAACTGAAAGCCATGAAATACTGCTTGAGGTTAGTTGCTGTTGAGATACCTGTTGGGAAGTTTCTGCTATAGTTGCTTAGTTCCAGGGTCCAACATTGGAGAGGAATTGTCTCTTTGCCATTTTCTGGCAGCCTAATGGCAAAAAGACCTGCTCATTTGGTTATTAACTACCAAGAAATGGCCTTCCCTTGATTATTGTTGGCAAGATGATGAAGGCTATAGCAAATAGGCAGCTTTGCTTACACAGTCCCTGCTGACCCCTCTCTGCGAAATGGACACTCGAGTAGTATCCAGACCCTATGTACACTTGAAGCTGTGTGCAATGTAACTGCTAAATACATCTATATAAATTTCGTGCACTTGCAAAGGCCACATGATTTTCCTTGTAAAGCAGTTTTTAAAATGTACAGCTATGCAGGAGAACCTTGTTCTTGGCTGAAGTTTTTGAATGATATGAAGACATAAGCAAAACCAAAAACAAACCAAGGTGTAATTAAGAACCCCAAAACTCTGAGTAACCTAAGATCTAGCATAAGATCTAAGCCTAGCATAAGATCTTTAACCATGAAGATCTTAATTTGAACAGGCTTGATTTGGACATGGAGGATGGAGAGCTAGTTTTCCTTCCTTTTCCAGACTGAATGTAAATCCAGCATTTTGGATGGTGTCAACTCTGGAGAAAAAATATGGCTTTAGAGGAGCCAGGACCTTGTGTGTCTTGCTATCAGGAAGACAAGCATTGAAAATAAAAATAATAAAGTAGTTCCTCTGGTTAGGGCCTAGCTTTGTTTTAGTCAGTGTTTTTGTTGGACTATCACAACTATGTAAAGTTGGCAAATGTGTGTGTGGTTAATTTAAGTCAATAAATCACATTTTATAGCTCTTAGGACTACACTTATTAAAGGGGAGATGAAACATTACTTTTATTTAAAATACAATTTTTAGATTTAAATGCAACCATATATTTAAAAGAGAAATTATAAGAAATTAGTAGAAATATTTTATATATGGAGAACAGGCATAATCATAGGTTGAAGCACAGGAGAGGAATTCAACAGATCTGTGTCTGTGGGAATTTGGGCAAAGCCATGTAATTTCTGTCTGCTGGCAATAGCAATTCTCACAGGGGCTTTGTCAGGTTATACTGGGCAGTGTGCACAAAGATGCACAGGGAGATAAATAAAGGGTCACTTATTTTTGCCTTCAAAGGACTGGGGCTGCAAGATGTTGGTCATCGTCTGCTGACTGGTAACTCAGCGCTATGAGGGCTCTGCCTTGAACTTAATCCAGCTGTTTTCGTTGTTGTCCTCCTCATTCTTACTCTTACTTTCCCCTTGCAGCATTTTAATAGTCATCTGAGCCAGAAGCAAATTTCCCCTGGAGCCAGTCCCAAGAATCTGTCTGTTCCCAGAACTTGGCTGGTGCACCCCAGCAGGCTCCCGTGCCAGGCAGAAAAGTGTCACCTTCCTCGGCCTCTGGCAGAAGCGGAGACAGAACAGGGTTTTCTCAAGGCTGTAAAACTTACATAATGTAGATCTTGACAAACCTTAATCTAAGGTTAGACCAAAGCATGAGTCTCTGCAAATGAAAGGCTGCATTGTGCCGAGAACAGCAACGCGTCAGACAGGGTCTTGGGAATTGGGGTTTCTGATTCTGGCTAAGCCACACGTCTCATGGGTGACTATTGATGTGCCACCATCTGTAAAAGGCAGATAAAAGCAGTGCTGGTTTCATCTGGAAATTACTTGGAAACTGCTTAACAGACTCATTAGAGAAGAGGTATCAGGAGGCTAAAGAGAGGAGGAGGCAGCTGGGGCAGTGAGAGCGAGATGCGCTGAAGGGTGGCTGGCGTGGGGCAGCACAGGGACCCTGCCTCGTCTCCGGAGGGAACCGTTTCCTTTCTAGGCTTGAAGGATCGCTTCTAAGACAGACTGTTATCGGCCAACCAGAGCTGTAAGTCAAGTTAAGACATCAGGTTGAGATGGTGGGAAAAGATGGAAGGAAATATTTTATTTGGCAGACTGTGATGTTGTGTCTTGTTTAAGGAATTAAGGCAGGAGCCGCCTGAAGCTGGTTGCATGTTTAGATAGAGATAGTTCTGGGGAATGTTATGACTGGCCCCAGCTGAATTGAGATAGTCACATGGATGGTAAATCCATTTGTTGCTTGATGTTGCAATATGCTACAAAGCTGCATCTTCATGTTAGAGAGATTGTCAAAAAGGTGTGTTTAAAGTCTGTAAACTAATTCCTGACAATCATTGAATCTGACAGTAACAAGATCAGTAAATCTAAACTTTGAGCCCTAACAAACCTACCACTGTAAGGAAAAGAAAAAAAAAAGAGCCTTTAAATTTTGTATATATGCTACCTGTTTTTTGCACCTCTGGGAATATCCTACAGTGCAATATTTTCTACCCTAATAGGGTGACTTTGTAAACACATTCTTGAAAACAAGCTTAAATTCATAGGAGACTATAAAATCAGGGGCATAATGTCCTTAACTGAATTCATTTAAGCACATTATTTGTACTAAGCATTTAGGTGATTCATTATACTTTATTCATTTCTAATGGCAGAAAAGTCTGAGAATGCTTCCATTCATATACTTAACAGGAGTGACTGGATTTCATAATGTTCTGTCCTAAATAATCAAACTTGTAATTCTAAGAAACCTTCAGAAAAAAAAATACACAAAGCAAGTGTTCACCCATACCCCTGATCAGCACATTTTGATCTAAACTGCAAATAGAGATTTTTAGTAACAAGCACTGCAAGCTGGGCACATTTAAAAATGCATTTTAAATCCTGGCCCAGGAATAGTGATTTTTATTACACTTCTGAGCACTGGGTGCCTGTTAGTGTAGTACATGATTTATTCATGATTTTTTTCATATGTATTTATATGGGCAGGAAGACGCTGTACTCATGAGTCTGAGTCATTTTTCCATAGGAATCTTGGAAAGATGGTAAGGAGGTGGTGCAATGCACAAGCAGACAGACACACTGGCATCCCAGAGGAAAGAAGGCAACATGATTTAATAACCCCAAAGGAAATAAATGTACTGATTTGCATTTGGTTTATGGTTTTCCTGCTTCGCTCTTGTGCAAACCTGAATGCATTTTTGTGGGTCTGCTCATATCTTTCCACTGGTGAACAGAAAGTCATTTTTGATAATTTCCCCAAGGGTATTTTGGTGATTTTTGCCTAAACGTTTAGCTATTTGTAGAGTGTGAGTATATATATATATACACATACCTGAACATAGGCAGACACATGATCTTTGCGTGCTGGCTAAGTACAGTCTCGCCGCTGCAAGATTTACTCCCTGCAGTTTTCTTTATTTGAGACTGAAAGAAGGTGGGCAGGAGAGCTGGCAGCTGAAGGCCCCAGGGCCCCAGGCAGCCCAGAACCGATGGCTCCTGGTCTGTGCCTGCAGCTCCAGCAAGGAGGGTGCCCCGGGAAATAGGAGCCTGCCATTAACTTGGGGTAGTTGAGCTGCTTGGATGGTTGCTTTGAAATGTTCTGAGGTTTGAGAGGAATGAGGTAATGGATCTTCTCCATGCCCTGTAACCTCTTCTAGCTTGAGGTAGTTAGTCATGGACTAACGTGTATCTTAATATCTATTTTGTTTAAATTCAGATTTGGAATAAGAAACCATATTCTCCACTAAAGGGATGGATCCTATTGGTTGGTTGGTCTCTCACAAACTACTATAGGATTGGGAAGCTTTATGATCCATTACTTCAACATGGACAGATTTCTGGGCTGGCTGTCTGGAGATGTAAGCAGGCTGGCAGAACACCAGGTATTTCGACCAGATATTTCAACCAGTTTTAACTGCTCAAAATCTGCCTGCCATGAAGGGAAAAAAAGACAAGTTGGCACAGTCCAAAAGCCAAACAATTTGTTGCTATTCTTACAACCCGTTCTTGGCTGAAAGGTCAAAAGCCAACTGATTTTATGCAGTTAAACCTGTTTCTAGAGCCTCTGGTTGAAAATAAAGCAAATTAGTGCAAAATGTGAGTAAGTTTGGGAATTGATCCTAACGTCTTGCGGAGGGATGCCTGGATAGCTCACGGTTCTGCAAAGGCTTTGCCCCAGGCTTTGCCTGCCCTGAGCTGGGTGGGATTTGGTGGCTGTTGCTCTTAGATCCCCTTACCCTCATGCTGCTTTTTGTGAAGCAATCAAAGCGCATAACCAGGCAAGTGATGGCCACTGGTGCACTTCTGCAAGGAGCGTTGTTGACTGTAGCTGCTGTTTGCAGATCCAGTGCTCAGAAAGAGTCATCTAATGCCCACTATGTCCATTCTAGCTAGAGCTCTTTAACCAGGAGTTATCTGCAGATTGGGAAAAAAGTCTGCTCACTACTCCCGTTCAGTTATACCATACTCGTCGCAGCAATGATCACAAGACTTCCAGTAACGTATTGGTTACAGTGGCTGAGATCAATCACAAGCTCATCTTCCTACCGAGCTCTCACTGCTCTCATCCGCAACGGCCTGAGGTGCAATTTGGAGTATTGCCCACAGCCCCTCATCCTGCAGAGTGAACTGCAATTGGTGATTAGAATAGAAAGCAGGTGTGAGCCAAACTCAAAACACAAGATTTTGCTGAACAGTTGCATCTCGGTGCAGAAAAGAAAAATAGCTAAGAAGGGAAAAAGGAGAGGAAGGCTAAAATGTAACCTAGTCGTCCATCTCCAGCCAGTCTGTCATAACATGCACACTCATACACACATGCTAATTAATCATCTGTGTAAATACACTGATTCACGTATAGCCTGTTTATATAAGCTATACAGTCATTTATACATGCAGAATAGGCTAAGTAGCTTATTCTGGTGTCTGTGCATTACGCTTCTAACATTTTCTGATTTATTTTTGATTTACCTTTCCAAATAACTCACTGCATGTGATATCCACCTCATTTTCTCTGAAGGCTTTTCCATTGCTACAGTATTATTTACCTTTTTGTCGCTGATTATACTGGTAGATGGTTTTGGTGGTCACAAGGCCTATTTACAATGATGCAAACATTTTTATTACGTGTAAGACTGAAGCAAACCTTGTCTTTTTAGTGTTTCAAAGATTGCTTTATTTGCAGCACGGCAGCACAGCCCTATCTGCTGCACAGGTTTCAACCTTCGCCTCAGATGTCTAGGCAATATGTGAGGCTGTCTCAGATGGGTCTGGCAGAGGATGCTGAGGTTAACTCGGGCATTGGCTCTGCTCAGATTCCTTCCCAGAGTGCCGAGGAGCTGTGTGGTGCCTTGTTTGTCCAAGGAAGGCTGCAGAACAGAGGGTTGCACACATCCCTCCTCGCTTTGGTGTGTGGAGAGGCAGCTCTGACTGTCGTGTAGCAGGCAGCAGTAAAGGGTTTGCTTCCCCAGCCACCACCAAGTTGTGGCTGCACTCAGGAATGGTATCCAGAGGTCCTCGGGGTCTGTTTTCCCCCCTGGTACCTCCAGCCTGTCCTCTCCTGTAGGTAATACACCGTTTTTGATTGTTGTTGACACATAAACTTTATAAAGCACACAGTTCTGGTGGTTGTGTTATTCCTAAGTTTTATATTTGGATTCTTTGGTTGCCGAGGTGGTAGATTTTCTGCTCTGCCAATGGACTTAGAGAAAGTGTTCATTCTTTTTAGATGAAGGAAAAAATGACAAAGTGTGCAAAAAGCTGATAAAAGCAGTGACTTCCTCTGGCAAACTTCTGATCACATAATTTCACTCCATCCCACGGTGTTCCCATATTGCAGCAGATGTCTGAACTGTACAAACTTACTGCTATTGTGCCAACACTTCTTCCTGTTTTGTGCTTTTCCCTTTTAGGCCAAAATTGGGTCTGGAAAACTCATGGGTCCTAAAGGTGTTTCTGTGGATCGTAATGGTCACATCATAGTAGTGGACAATAAAGCATGCTGTGTGTTCATCTTCCAGCCAAATGGGAAAATAGTTACCAGGTTTGGGAGCCGAGGAAACGGTGACAAGCAGTTTGCAGGTACACTGGATGGTAATATGTAAATCCCCTTTTCTTGCCTCTTCTGCTCGCATTTGCACGATGTTTGAGCACATTGAAGATGCTTTATCTGACACGCTCTTCTCCTGGAGGCAGGAAAGGTTTATTACATGTACAGCTATTCACCATTTATTTAACCAGTCAAGAAGACTGAAACGTCTGTTCTTCAAACATAGCAGTAACCAGCCTTTTTTTCTACCTCTCTGTGCTTGGAAGCATTTCAGATTAACGACCTTTTGATCTTAAATAGCGTTTTATAAATGGTTTGTAATCTATACATCATCTGTAAATGATAATAAACTCCAACACAATGCTTGTGTTTCCAATGATCATATACACAGTAAGCAATGCCCTAAGTAGCATCTTCATATTCAAAAATATGCATAATATGATAGTGTTAAGACAATATCAGAGAGACAGAGTTATGCATATAGAAAATGCCAGTTTGGGGAAATTGCCACCTATGTATTTAACTGACTGCTTGCCCATGGTGTCATTCAATAAGAACAAGTAATTAGGTATTTTAGATAATTAGGTAATTCAGTAATTAGGCAACCACTGGCATGTATTTTGTTCTTTCAGGATTGGAAATGAAGTTGCCAAATTAGCTATGCACATCACTTTGCAGGTGTTTGGTCACTTTGATTAAGTCGGTATAAACTAGTCTGATGCTTTGATAGCACCAAGAAGAATTAGCTTTAATTGTATACTGCTTGAATCTTGTTTGAGGTCTCTTGCAATGCGTTATGACACAAGTATGACTTTTATCAGAACTTTGGCTCTAACACAGCTAAATGTCAGCAAAATTTTCTGTGTATGCCCAGTTTCCTTCACCTTAAAATTTATAATACCTCATGAAAACATGTTTGCTCTGTAATAGTAGATTTGAGAAAAGTATCATATCTTCTTGGTGACAGACTGCATGAAGCAGGTGAATTGTCATTACATGAAGATTTGAGTGCAAAGATTTTCACCCTTTTTGTATCTTATATTGTACTGTGAAAACTGCAGTCTGATTCGTTCTGATTTTAGTAAGCCAAAATAGTGACATGTATATTTACTCAGGTTCCTGCCTATTTTCAGGTTATACAACCTGTTTTTTACTCAGCTTGTATGCATAGTTCAATATAAAAAGCAAAACAATTTTTTTTTCCTAACTATTCATAAATGTTTTTAGACTCTTAGCAACTGCCTTAATTTCTCCTACGTAACTTTACTGTTTGTTCTAAAATTTGCTTGCTGAAATGCTTGTGAGAAGTAAATATACAAAGCATAGATGTTTACATTTAAAACTTTACATGAATATTTTTGAAAACTCTTTTCAATAGGTGTACAAACGTATCCCTAAGCACTGCCTGTTTTGTCTTGTTAATGAGCAGATACATATTTACATGGTCATCTGTATATGAGAGAGGAAGGACTGAACAATGCTGATTGATAACACTGCTGAATGGTTGAAAACAAAATGATCCATGTTTTCAAAAAGACATGCTGACCTTTTTAAACATGGAATAGAAAGTACTTTGAATTTAAAATTGACATTCCCAATTTTATTGATCAGAAATCAAACATAATCTTCTGACGGACTGAATAACTTTTATATGTAAGCAAAGCTTTTGACCTAATAGTATAATTTTTATTCTTTTATTCTTCTTCTGCATTGCAGGTCCTCATTTTGCAGCTGTAAACAGCAACAATGAAATTATTGTTACAGATTTTCATAACCATTCTGTCAAGGTACTGTCATTTAATGCCTATTTGGAAAATTTTTATTTTACCATGTTTCTTCCCTGGAAAATAAAAGAGGCTGTTAAGAAAAATAGAGAAGTAATGTTGTATAGATATGAGGCCTGATATGAAAGAAGATTTCCCATATGAGGACTCTGTGTTCAGAGACGTTTGCCTGCAGCACATTGCTCGATGGAGATATTGTTAGGTCCGGTTTTCGAATTGACAGAGAAAGAGGCAAACACCTTCGATATATTGTGCTTTTTAATGACAGGAGAAAGATAATAAGTATTACCAGCTAGCTGGGGTCCGGGCTTTCCCACGCAGGGGTCACACCACGGACCCCGACCGCTTCGATCGTCCCTCTTTTATACTGTACTTACCCCAAAAATGTTCCCCCTCCTGTTTTCCTGTTCTGCTTTCATGTCAATGTTATCTATATTTTATTGCTGACTGGGACCTCTGGATAAGCATCTCTTCCATGGAGATCATCCTGACTTGCCATGTATCAGGAGTCCTTGTAGATAGGCAACCCCTTCATGCAGAACGTCCTGACCTGCCATTTATCAGGAGTCCTTGCAGATAGGTAACCCCTCCATGCAGAGCCACCTGTCTTGCCAATTATCAAGAGTCCTTGCACCTCGAGACTAAGTATTGACTAGCTTATTAGTACACTCTACATTAACTATTTCATCCCTACAATATAACTAGTTGTCTTTGGTGTCACTGTGATGTTCTGTTGTTCAATTGCTTAAACATAAGTTGTAGCTGAGACCAACAATACCCACTTACTTGCTATGAACCCTCTGCTAACCCTGTTATTTACCATATGCTCTTCCTTATTTTAAGAAAGTCTGATACCTGTTTTAGATTTTTTCAGTAAAGCCTTCCCACACTTCTAGTTGAATACAAGTGTAACAAAGGGAAGTTAGTTGCATCTTTGTAGGTTTTAAGATTACTGGATCTATTTATGACCCGACAGTCCTAACCCCCGTGTAACACAGACTATCAGTTTTCACTCAGTGAGCCTTGCACCGAGTGGAACTGGCCAATAGTCCTTACACGTACCGAAAATCCAGACTCAAAGCATGTTAAACAGTCCTGGTCGGATACACCAGTCTGCTTGTGCTAGCTGTTAAAGTGTCACATTGCTGGTACGTGTGTGTTAAGGAGCTACAGGCCACGCGTAAGAAGTTCTCCACCTGCGCGCGGTTGCTGTCGGCAGCCCCAGCTCCCTCCCGGTGCCCTGCGACGCTGGGCTCGGCGCAGCTCGGCTGCCGCCAGCTGCTCGCGCCGCTGCTGGAACCCCCCTCTCCTCACTGCAGAGAAGGGTGCAGCCCAGCAGTTCAGCAGCGTTCGTAACTGAAACGTTAACTGTCGTACGTGGCCTATGGGATCCCAGCCTCCATACTGCTGATTGTTATTTACCTGAATACAGTTTTGCATCTTTAGTGGTGTTGACTCATATCGCTTTTGAATAGTGACCTCGCCTATGTATGCTTTGGAATTGGAGAGGAAGTAGCAGTTCATGCGGTCTGGATTACAACAAAGAAACGGGGACTGCTGCAGAGCCCTAACGCAGAGTGTTTGTGTGGCGTAGCAGCAGGAGGCCCCCGAATCCATAAATTACCCCTGCACCAACAGGGCTTCCTGCGCTAACAAGAACGCCTGGGGAGAGTTTGTAATGAGGGCAACCTGCAATGAACAAAAGCAAGTGAAGAGATGCAAGAAGTGTGGCATCTTAGTAAATTTAAAATGACTCCATCCCTAATGAGAACAGAGCGTTCCCATCTGTCTCTGGTCTGACTCAGTGGGATAAAAATGTTATTTGTTCTAATTTGGTTCTAACTGGACAAGATTCTTATTTTTTTTAGTGTTCTCTAGTACAAGTCCAGCTAATTGTGAATGTTTTAGAGAGTTATTTTCACATTCAATGAGGCAAATTATCACTTTCTAGATAGTAGGGGACAAAAGCAGAGAGTAAGTTTGGGGCCCTCAGATTGCTGTGATGGCTTCCAAAACCTCTTATGCCTTAAATGAAACATCATCATTTGGCAAAAGTATCCTCTCTGCCCTTTCAACCTTCAAGCATATGCATCCTTTGCACATCCTCTATGGAAAATCAATGCAGGCCTCTCCCTTGTTCTCTCAGTGACTGTCCACATGGACCAACCCATGAAGAGAGTGATGCATGGGCAGGCCACAGTCATTCCCAAGGAATGCCCATGGACCCTGTAGAGTAGCTGAACCTGAGTCCAAGATGGACCGAAGTGATGGAGATAGTCACGATGTGTCGTAAATGGTCTGTCCTCTATGTCACTTGGCCCCACTGGTGCCTCAAGATTGCTAACAGAATATTCCTTGATTGATTCCATTTTCTATTGTCTGAACTTGCCATCCACCATCACAGCAAATGCAGCTGCTCAGCAGCCCACAGAGTACAGAATGCTGAATTCTTTACCATTTTCTTGTCTGATGTCATCTCTTCTTCATAAATCAAAATTTCCTAGAGATTTCAAGTGCTCGAAATTACAAACTATTTGGAAATGTGGATATAAGTGACTTGCTCCAACCTTACTTGTTTTTGTTTGCAATGTAAATATATCACTCTGTTAAACACTCCTAAAATGAGAGAACACGAGAACTATAAATGCTCACCCTTACAAGGAGGTTTGTCAGTGAGGTTGTTCTTGGGCACTCTCAATTCCCAATTGTGTTAGCAGGCCAAGTAGTAGTTGATGATTAGGAATATTTGACATAATGCTATATTCACTTTTTTTTAAATCCATACAGGTATTTAACCAGGAGGGAGAATTCATACTAAAGTTTGGATCAAATGGAGAAGGAAATGGACAATTTAATGCACCAACTGGAGTAGCTGTAGATTCTAATGGAAATATTATTGTAGCAGATTGGGGAAACAGCAGGATACAGGTAGACATTTGTATTTTTCGAAGGTGCTTGATCAGGAAACATAAAACATTGATAACCATTTTTTCTAAGAAGCAAGATAGCAGCAGCAGAAGCAATTTTTTTTTCATTTTTTTCTGTCTGCCTGCTGCTCTGTCTGCTTTTAGAAGAGGTGGTGTCACACTGTGGTGACTCCATGTGACTGCTAACAAGTCTGATAGTTACTGTCACTGAGGCCTTTGACTCCAAACATTTCCCCAGAGGCTATTAGGACTTAGGAGACTTATAAACCACGCTGAGACAATAGTAATTTATAATCACCATAACAAAGATTGGAGGCCTAAAAAGCCAATGATCTGTTCAGACCCTGAGGCAAATGCAGCAGATTTTTACCATATTAAATGCTGAGAAAATATTCTGCTTTCATGTAGAGTTGAGTCTTTTCATCTTTCAAGTGCTAATCTGTAAGTCCTTCCTCACTTGCCAAAGAATATCTAATAAACAAATTACCTTATATATTAGTTCACTGAATATGGAAAGGAGTGAGCTGATGAGTTTTCTCATGGCCCATTGTCAACAGTCTAAACAAATCCTGTTTTTCTCTATGTGGGAACCCAGGAGAGTCATGCTAGCCACAACAGTAGTGTTTGTTAGGAAAATGAGGTGTTGACTGAGCTCCTGATTGAGTTTGATTTCTCGTAGTTGGCTATTTTTAGAGCAAGGAAGAACTGATATGCTTTTTTTATTACTATTTTATTGTATGCTTAATTCTTGAAAAAGGTTGTGGTTGCCCTAAATAAGTTATTTTTAATATGAAAATGTATTTGCATGTGCATTCACATATTATGAAAACACCAGATCAGATTCTACCTTTGTTTATTCTAGTGTATGCCAACAGCTTCAGAAATTAGAATTATAACAGTGTAACTGAAAGTAGAATTTTGTCTGCTATTTTTTCTTTTCTTCACTCATAACATTTCTTATGTGCTTTCTCCTCCTCAAAGGTTTTTGATGGAAGTGGATCATTTTTATCCTACATCAACACCTCTGCTGACCCGCTTTATGGTCCCCAAGGTCTGGCCCTCACTTCAGATGGCCACGTGGTAGTTGCAGACTCTGGAAATCACTGCTTCAAGGTCTATCGATACTTACAGTAACCATGAGCTCTGGAGCTGAATCATCATCCATCCCTATGGAAAGACTGGTCCCCAAGATCCAATGCAGAGTGTCTCCTACTTTAATGAGTTTGTTTATAATAATGAAGGAGTCTCTTATGGACCTCTCATGTTAATTTCCAAACTTACCTTGTTTACATAGGACTTGCACCTCTTAGGTTCCTCACTGAACTTCGTATTGTGTGGGTTAACACACAAAATCCTCTTTAGCTTAATTCATAAAGACAATGTGATATTAAATATAGGCGGAAGCTTATGGAACTGGATTAACTAATTAGGCAAAAATGAGGAATTTTTCTGGGGGAAAAAAATCCCCAAAGCTTTTTGAAGACTGCAAAGGGTAGCTCCTGTTTAGAGCTTCCAAATTTGAAAAAAAAAGTGTTGTTGTTAGTTATGCATTATGTAACCCAGAGGTGATCCTGGAAATCTAGATCTGATTATCATGGTAGGTATTACACTTTTATCATTCTTCAGTCTTAATCATTATAACAAGTAGGTCCTTTTAGTAAAGGTATAATGCTAAGTCATACAAAATCCGTCTAGTTCTAAACATCAGACCTAGCACAGCTCGACGTTCAGCACTATGAGAATCAATGCAAATTCCCTCACCATGGGGGATGAATGAAGGATCGTTTCATGTGCTTATTTTTCACTCCTCCTCTTGCTTAATGTGCTGTAAGGACTTTGCAGAGGCCTGACATTTCTAAAGCTCTGGAAAACCTTAATTGTAAAGATGCATTAGTGAGAGCTGAATTTCTGTAGAATGACAGACCTTTTAACACCAAACCAGTTCATTAGGATCAGGGTTATTACAATGTCAACTCAATTAACCTCATGTGTGCCACTCCTCTGTATGTGTTCGTTGCCGTATCTCCTTAAGGCAACTCATTATATGAACAAATAAAATGCCGCAGCTCACAGGACAGAAAGCCAGAGAGGTACCCCTATGGAGGACCTACCTTATACAACCAAAGGGACTGTGGTAAACAGAGGTTGTATAAGAAAGCCAAGGGTTACCAAAGCTATTTGTTTTTAACATGAGAAATAATACATTACAAGAAAGAATGACTTTGAACAAATTCTCCAAGTCCTTCATCAAGGGAATTTTGTTAGAGAACAAAATAAGGACTGCAAGATTTACTCCTGTTTGTTTGTATGTATGTTTGTATGTATGTATGTATGTATGTCTGATTGATTCAAAAACAGAGTAAATGTTGGTTATTTCAGCAAACTGGAACATATGTCTGCCATTTGATAATGGCAGTACTCTGAAAAACGGCCCCCTTTCTTCCTGCCGGGTATCTCTACTGTGTTCTTTGTTGAAATACTAATTTAATTGGAAGTTATATTACAATCATATTACTTGGTTCTATTTTTATTTTTTTTTTAAGTATTTACTTGTCTTTTTAAAGTCACATTGGTTTTATTATTAATTCTAAACCTGATGGTCAAAAGATGTGTTGCTGCCATAACCTGATATAGAGTGGCGCTTACTCTGAGACCTCATCTAAGGAGCTGGCTGGCCTGCTGCCAATGCCTGAAATAGTCCGGGAAGAAGAATCTCTCTTTCTACTTTTTAGGGATTTGAAACAAAAGGACATTGGGTCAGGACCAGGATAGTATTTTAAGCATGTCTGCAAAACTGGAAGAAATTTTTGTGGGATTATGTGTTACAAATATTTGTCTTATTTCTAAAAGGTTAAGGTTGTTTCAATGAATTTGAGGAAAAGCTAATAATTTTCTGTAAAGATGTGTTTGACTTGTAAAAATGCAGACTCATGTGGAGTTTGTTTTTTGTTGTTTGTTTTTAATTGCTATTTCTTAGAAATATTTCCTTCTGATTCCCATGTTATTTTTTGCTTATAAGAACCGATTTTGCAAAATCTTTTTCAAGACAACTGTCATTGCTTCATTGGAGTAATTGTTTTATGTAAAAGGCTTATGGTTTAGACCATACAATATGGCTAATAAGCTGGTGGTAGTATTTTTGAAATGTAAAAAATCAAGTCTGTTATTACAAAGAGAACAAAGTATCTTCTGAAATGAATTTGTCCTAAAATTCCAAAGGAGATACAGTCACCTCAGTTACTACATAAAATACTGTCCTCTCAAAGTCTTGTGAAATTGCAAATCAAATTTTATGACCATCAAGTAATTGTCTAGTAAGTGTCCTTATGAACAACGTTCTGACACACGTACAGTTTCTAACTTAAATGCCCTTATTTATTTATCAATAAAAAAGATATGTAACATTTCCATCATATTTACTAAGAGAGAAAAAATATTGCATTGATTCTCTGAGGTAGAAACTTAAAATCAGAAGTGGGCTCTTGCCGTCAGTTATGGGTACCATTAATCCACTTTGGTTCCAGATTTGGATTTCTGTAATAGTATTTTACTAAACTTGAATGGTTTCCACTCAAGAAACAAGGCCAGATCCTCCGTTGCCAGGAATTCTGAGGATCACAGGAACCAGACCCTAAGCTATATGTCAAAACATACACTTAGGGCTACACTATTCCATGCATACCATTTCCTTTGAAAGATTTTGCCCCTCTTTCACTCAGCAACATTTTCTATAACCTCTATCCACTCTATCCTTATCAAATGAGGAACTCTCCCCACGACCCCCCAGAACCCAAACTAACAGACATTAGTGAGGATGGAGGGTTCTCCTAAGATCGAAGTTTTTTTTTTTCTCTATCTCATTGAATTTTCAGCCATGATCACCAGAGCAGCACTCACTGCTGCTGAAAAAGGGCACCAATTTGGAATTCCTTCACATGGCGAATGCTGCCAATTAGAATTTTAAATTCAGTGGTCCAGGGTATTCATTTCCAAAGGTTGAGCTTGCCTGCCTGGCACAGACAGACTGGCAAACGCGTTGCTTTTACAGCGTATGTCTGAAGCCAACTTAGCTAAAATGCTTGGCTTACAAAACTCAGAGTGAGCAACCAAAGCAGAAATTCTGTTCTAGAAAATGACAGGTTATTTTCACATCCAATTAAGTGAACGTCCGAATCGCACTCTTGCTTTACTGAGCTGCTAGCATTTACTAAAGGCTTTCTAGGCATTCTGCGGCCAATTTCAGCATAGCCAAAGGTCCCCTCGACTTCCTGGGAATGCTAACTGATGAGCAGTGCAGCCTGAATGCTGAAAGTATGTGCTTCGTTTAACTGATCTTCAGCTCAAAAGTCATCTCAAAAGGTTATCAGAATTTGTGTAATTTGGAGTATTTTAGGACAAACTAGCCAACTGCATTTTTGTTATTTCTTGAATAGTATAAAAGGATCCATTCAGTTAAATCCAATGCAATCAGTGGGGGATTTTACATTGGTTGAAGAAACAGCAAAGTAGTTGAAAAGGAAAATGGCCTAAGAGAAGCGTTTGTGTAATGTAGATCGAGAGTTATTTATTAGTAAATACTCTTCTGTAAAAGCTAGAGGGCTTTCCATTTTATGTCAATATTTTTTTAACTAAGGATCTAGTGTTGCCATATTGAGAACTCTCCAAGTGCCCAATACATTGTGTTTGTTATAAAGAAATGACCTGCAGTTGTGGGCGCCAGCTAGTCACGAAAGCACGATGTATGTTGAAACCTTTCTTAAGAAATGGAGAGCAGCGATTGTTTTGGCGTGTTTGTGGAGCGTGCACGAGCAGTACTTGTGCGCTGGGGCAGGACGGTGCCCACTTGGTTGTGTTACTTCTGATGAATGTACAGCACTGGGGTTCACGTTTGGGAGCAACACGGGCTTAGCCGGCACACTCCTGCTCTGGCGCGATGACACGGGAATGTTCCTGAGGCTGCAGGGTGTATGGCAGTATCCCTGTGTTGGACGTCTTTGCCAGCCGATACACTGGAGCTTTCCGCTTCTAGAACTCTGTCTTTTCTTTCTTTTTTTTTCCTCTTTTTAAAGTTTTTGTACATTCCATCTTTGTAAGTCAATTCCATACATTTAGTGTACATGTAAGTCTTGCACTGTCTGTAAACTGATAATGAAATATTCTTGCCACTTGTTTTCTTTTCTTCTTTTCTTCCTTTCTTCCCCCTTTTTTTTTCCTTTCTATTTTTCCTTTCTTTCTAACCCCAGGGAGGCTAAATACAAACTTTGCCTCCTTAAGGATCAAAAACATGCATCAAAGTGTTTGTGTGTGTGTGTGTGTGTGTATAGTTTTAGCTTCATGTGTGCCACGGTATTTTCAATGCTTTAGCTGATGATAAAAACAAAATTTACTCTCTTGGAAATGTAGGAAAACCAGAGTCAAATATGTACCTTTACCACGCACAAAATTTCAAACAATAAAGCTTGTTTCCTCTGTTATTTTCATGGTTGAGGATTTATTTTTTGTATGCCTCATATTTACTGCCCCTAAAAATATCCCTGTAATGCAGAGGTATTTTTTTCCAAAAGGAAACCTGGATCCCATAGGTCACAAGGCAGGAAACCTGTAATTGTTTCCGGAGTGTTTAACTGTCATGCAGAGGAAAGAGAGACTTGGGTTGTTGGGAAGAGGGTGGGGAGCCGGA